TGTCCATTCATAATCTGTCTCTGTTCCTCTGTAATCCTTGGTAAAATTTGTTTCTTTAGCTATTCATCTATTATCTTTAGAGAGATATCACTTCCTTTATATAAGTTTTAATGATATTGATGATTTTTTTTTTATGGCTATGTTGTCCATTAATACAGTATTTCCCTCTTGTAATTTCAGTATCATTTTCTTTTCTTTTTCGTGTCATAATTCATATGCCAGCCACTTCCCTGGTTTATTTGCAAACTCAAATTTTTTTTTTCCTTTACATAATTCATTTTTATTTCCATTTCTCTTACTGTTAACATAGATAACTGCCATTGTAAAACCTTAATTTGTTGAGAAATGCTTATCTTCTCTGGACATTTCTTTGATTCTTTTTTGGATGAGATGAAGAGAATTCCATTTGTGGAGCTTGTGTTTTCTCTTGACTCTTCTTTTTGAGTTCACTATTATGTTGTATAAAATTACCTCTAATAAAAGCTTAACTTGAATCCCAAATCATTCTTAAACAGTGCCTTTCCCTAAATTATTTTCAAAAAATATTTTTAATTTCTTTTTACAGTCCTCCACTATTACTTCTTTCTGAAGCAACATTTTGTTTAGTCTCCATCTAAGAGAACTAGATTTTCTTTTATAAACGAAACTCACAGGATTATGATCTGAAAAAGTGGTTGATAATATCTCTACTTTAGAAACCTTAGTAGCCAGGTTCTTTGAAATCCAAATCATGTCTATTCTTGAAAAGGATTTGTATCTTTCAGAAAAGTAGGTGTATTCTCTTGAATTGCCATTTTTTTCTGTTTCCATATATCAACCAGCCCTAAATTGTCCATTAAATCTAAGAAAACTTTTGGTAATTTGCCTTGAGTGATTTTAATATTTTTCTCCGTAGTTTTACCAGAAATCTATTAATCTCTCCATAAGTCCTTTATAGAACAATACTTTGTCCTCATTTGGGGCATAAATTCCCAGTATCAAAGTCTTAGTCCAATGCAAATTAACTTCCACCCCAACAAATCGATCATGCTCATCAGTCAGTAGAAGTTCTGTTTTAGTTGGGGATTTATATACAAAACACCTTCCTTCCTTCCTTCCTTCCTTCCTTCCTTCCTTCCTTCCTTCCTTCCTTCCT